AATTACAAAACAGTAACCCACAGGCCCTAAAACAACCTTTGTAGACCGAGGAGTGCTTCCTAGAAGAAGGGACCCCCAAGAGCCGATCTGACAGCCAGGCCGAGAGCCCTGTGAGGGACCTGGGCTTGGGGTGGGGGTGAGGGTATGGGTGTGGGTGTTCTTGTTATTTTAAAGATTCTCATCGTTCCTGAATTTTTTTTTTTAGTTTTGGACTCTCTGCATGTGCCCCAAGAGTACATTTCAGGTACAAAGATCCAAACAATAGCGGTTCCATTTCTCAGGCTCTGTTGAATTTGCCTTCTTTTAAATTCTTCTCAGTGCTCCTCATGGTTTCAACTCCACACTCCCTACCAGGGCTTGGTTGACGGTGGGGCAAAAGAGGCACCAGAGCACAGATTTAAGGAGACACTCATCCTCATGCTGGGTGACATGCTCCCAACCCTGTTCCCTGCTCACACATGTGGCTCCTTCTGTTTACAGTGACCCTGCCCCACCCTCATCTGCCTGGTGAAAGCTGGCTCCCACTCTGAGGCTCAGCTCCTCCTGGAAGTCTACTGTTCTCCCCGGTCACCCTGCCTCCTCCCTAGGCCAAGGTGGTCCTCCCCGCCATGCTCTAACAGTGTAGTAAAGGCTGGGTAGCACAGTGGCTCACAGAGCAGGCATTGGCATCCCTGCTGTGCTATTTAATATCTGTGAACTGTTCCCTGAGCCTGTTTCCACTTGTGTAAAATGTAGTGCCGACTTCATGGGGAGCTGTAAAGATTAAACGAGAAAATGTATGTAGAGTGATTAGCAGTGATTGGTACAGGCTACTTAGTAAGAGGTAGCTAATATTATTTTGTTTACACATCTTCTAAAGCACCTGTGTATTCTATTTTCCTGCCTTTATCTTCTCTAGACCATAGTTCCTATGGACAGGAAAGAGGAGGAAGAGGAGAGGAAGGAGGAGGAAGATATTCACAAATGACATTTAATAGGCATTAAGACATGTCTACGGCATAAACAAAGAAAAGAAATGACAAATTCCATGGAAAAAGTTCTGGGCAGGAAATCTGGAACCTTGGGCTCCAGTCACATGATCCCAGTGTGGGCACAGTGCCTGCCCCACTCCCATACACTTCGCAAAAAAAAAGCTGCCCAGACCACAAACCTTATTGGCCCTAAGGCCACTTGGCCCCTCTAGCCTCTAGACTTGAGTAGATGGGGCCAGCACCAGAGCCAAGGCTTACCATTTCATATACTAGCTGGTGACCTTTAAGCAATGGCTTAGCACCACAATCCACAACAGGCCAGTTAAAGTTTCTCTTAAAAACAAGCATCAGAAAGAAATTGTCAGCAGAGGGAAGTGAAGTAGGGAGGTCAGAGACAAGTGGGCTGTGGCCAGAAAAGCCTGTGCAAGCACAGCGAAGAGGGAGCAGAGACCAAGAGTAAGCAGAAGCCTGTTGGTAGGCCGAGGAGCAGTCCTGTGCAGAGAAGGTGAGGGTGTGAGGAGACTGAAAATGCATAGCACAGTGAATCCTAGAGCTGCCTCGTTGCTGCTGGCATTTCAGTTCCAGTCCTTATAAGAAATTCCTTATGTTTGAGCTACACTGGGTAAGTTTCTGTTCATTGCAGCCCAATGAGCCTGACTCTGCTTGGGGCAAGTGTCCCTTTCTGGGCCTTAGTGTGACTAGACCATCTCCAAGGTCTTCTCCAGATCAATGTTCTCTTTGCACGCCATGTAGAAAGGATGGTTTTTAGGTTGTTGGCAACTAAATTCAGTATCAATTACAGAGTGCCATGACATCCTGGCTCCCAAAATAGCTTGATGGTTGGTTGAAGAGCCTGTAGGAGGATCCAACACACACCTGGCTTTGAACCCGAGCCCTGCTGATCCAACCTGCCTCCCCCTTCCATTGCATCCTTTGTTGGATCACAAAGGAACAGAGGAACCAGAGCTGGTGTTTCTCTTGTGTCTTTTGGCTGCTGAATGTTCTACCTTTCCTACCCCCTTAACTCCAGCATTTCAGAGGATGCCAGTGCCAGGTCTGTTCCAAAGAAAGTGCCACTCCAGGAAGAATGAACAAAGAAAGTTTCCTTCTTTAGTGTTAAGATCTCCTGCCTTCCAGCTGTTTGGCTCTCAGCCTGTGCCTTGCCTTCATCCGTCTAAGCTAACAACTATGTTGATAATAATACTTCTTTGCTTTTGTATGGTGCTTTGTACTTTTCAGAGCATTTTCATGCTTGTTACCTTACTTGATACTCACAGAAACCCAGGGAGGATGGGAGAGGAGGTAGGGAAGAGGATAATACTCATCATTTCTCCCATCTCATCCACCCCCTTAAAACAATTTATTTTAAAAAGAATTTAGAAAAATCATCCTTCTGCTCTTTTTAAAATAGATGGAAATATTGAGACTGAGCTTGATTAAGTGACTTGCCCAAGATCACAGCAAGTTAATGGCTGAGTTATTTCTAGGAGGTTTCCAATCATGGATCTTGCTAGCAGGACTTGCCTAACACCACCTTGCAAAATACTATTGGCTATGGCAAGGGATCTCTGACAAAAGTGGTGTTCTTGCCACCCCCACCTCTTGGGGTCTCCAGGAATCATTTACAAGCATATGCCTCCAGTCACTACAGAGACTTGGCTACCCCACAGTGGCTTGGGTAGCACCAGGAACCCAGAGAAGTAACAGTTCTCAGGTATTGACAAGGATAAATGCCATTGGAAGAGTCCGTTTATTGTTTTAATTATAGAGTACTTGGTGGAAGGTAAGACAGGGAAGGTTGAGAACCATAAGTCTATCCCTCCATCAGCTCCTCTGAAAAAGAGGAAGCAGAAGTGATAGTCTTTGCCCCTCCTCTCTTCCTAAACTCTGCTCTGTGGCAAGGACACCCTTTCCTGCCCACTCTGTTTTGGGCCCCCCCTTGCCAACTTGCAATCATTGCTGTATGCCCATCTGGTCATTCTGGAACCCATTCTTCCCAGTTGTGCCATCCCATCTCCAGCCATACAATTCCCCACCTGCATTTCCCAGCCACTGAATCTGACAGGAAGCCCCCCTCCAAGGGGAGTCTGGGAAATGTAGTTTGCAGGGTCTGGCACTCTTCACTCCCAAGAAGAGCATGGAAAGACTAGGGTAAACAGGCAAATGACCAGCACAAATTCTACTGAAACTTACAACTAATTCTGCCACCTTAAAGGCCATATGTCTTGGACATTAGTTGATTACCTCATTTCTCCATCTCCTCCTTTCCAGCAGCCCATGATTTCCTTTCCAGGATCCATATGTTTCTAGGAAACTGACTCCGTCAGTGTAGAGCAGGGCTAAGCCAGCCAATCCCACTGGCCAGAATGATGGGTTCAGCGTAATCATATGAACTCAGCCAGTCCAACCCAGAGGGAATCTCAGCATTTTTGCTGAGAAGGCTGACACACAGATGGCCTCTTCCTTGCTAACCATGAATGAAGAAGCATGCAGGCCCAGTGCCCCGTTGGTTGTCACCTTGGAATAATAAGGGGAGCAGAAACCAGGAAAGAAGAGTAGTCCTGAAGACTAGGAGATTAATCTGGGGGCACATATGGAACTCACACATGGCAGCCACTGCTCAGGAAGCTCTGGCATAGTTGATCAGGCCCATGCTAATTAGAGTGCCCATTATTGGCCACAGGGCAAGACCAATTTATAAGCATCATGGAAAACTCTAGGAGAGAAAGGAAGTTCTCGGACTCAGTCACTTTCCCCATGGTCACAACCTGGGCCAGTGGCTTTTAAATATTTTCATCCTCCATGAGAGATAAGTTTTACCATGTGACCAATACACACATGGCCATGTACAAAACAAACATTTCACAACAGTGTTCACAGTATTTACCCATGCTCTGCACAATTAATTCATATTTTTCAATTATATTCTATTCCATTTTATTAATAAAGCTGGTCACACACTTCCAGATGATTTCATGATCTACAAATGAGTTATGACCTGCAATTCGAAAAACATTGCCTTCCAACATGTCATCATTAGTTGCTACAAAACCTAACTCTGATTTTAAGCATCCTAACCTGTAGTGACTTTCCTGCTTCTGTACCCATATTAGCGGTCTTCCTTTGCTCTGAAGGAAAGTCATGGTGTCCAAGCTCCTATTGGAGGCCAGCCTCTCCCAACCTGTGTCCGTGACTCCAAGAACTTAACATCTGCAGTTATTTTCTTTCTTTTGTTTCATCAATTTCTGCTTATCTCCTGAATACTTAGTTTACAAAAGTTCTCTAGAGCCTCTCTTCTTACAGCCCAAAACAAACCAACAAATAAAAAGCTCCCTTTGACCTCATTTCAACTCACGGTTCCTTGAGTCAAACCAGAGTAGATAGATGGGGCAAGAAGCAGAAGGATGAACTGGACTTCATTGAAGGGAGGAGGACCTTGTCAAGAAGAAGTAGTGGGCATGGAAAGAAGAAGGCATTGAGATTTCTGTGAATAAGGAGAAATTAGAAATGAATTTTAACCCAAGAACTGCCAAAACTTTGTTGCTAGAGCCTGACTTGAGTCAGGTAAGCTCAGGTTCAACACTGGCCCTGCCATTTCTGAGCTAGCCAAATTTGGATAAATATCATCTTTTCCTTAAGTTTTCTCAGATGTAAAATTAGTCTAATGAAACCTATCTCATTGAGTTGGATTAAGGAGTAAATAAGATAAAAAATGTCAGCTCTTATTATTACAAGGTTTTTCCCCATTCTTATACAAAACTCCAACTAATAATAATTACCATAGTGACCACTTATTGAGCAATTCATCTGTGCTAGGCAATATGCTAAGGACCTTACAACAGTCTCCATGCCAAGAAGGATTCCCTGGTACCATCTCACTGCAGTTTCTACACCCTGATAATGTGATTAATGTTTATAGAGTGTCTACCATGCACCAGGGAATGGACTGGCTTACTTGCAGTCATTCATTCTACAGATAATTATGAAGCATCTACTATGGTACCAGGAACGTACTAGGGGATGGGGACACCAAGATGAACCAGGCCCTGAAACTTGAGGAACTCACAATCCAGTCACACAGTAAGTATATATAATGAGGGCATGTATATGACATGTCCTTTCCTTGTAGCTTCCTTGGTCTAGGCAACCCCGTCTTTTGCTCCAGACCCCACAACTGACAGTGTTTCTGATTCTGTTTTTCTGGCTTGATCTTGGAGCCCCACTTTGAGGACATGACTTTGAGTTCTCTACTCCCCATGTGGCCGCCAGATTAAGAGAAAATTTTTGTATTCCCTGTCTCTCCCTGCCCAGGCTCCCCCTCAAGAGGAAAGAAACTTGGCAGATGTGCAAAGGAAGGTAAATTGCTTACCTGGCTTTTGCCTCATCACACTCGGAACACTTCTCTGGCTTAATTCACTCATAGTCCAATGGGTTTTTTGTCCCTTTGCAGATCTCTGCCCCTTTCTCTTTTTGGTGTCACATATCATTTAACGTTCTTTGTGTCTTTCACCTCTGCAGCTCAGAGGGATTAAGTAACCTGTTCAATGTGTAATACTAAGAAGTGGCCTTGGTGCTTGAACCCAGATCAAGATGACTCCGAAGCACATGCTTTAACCAAAACTCCATGCTGCCTTCCCAGGAAGACCAAGAGTCTAGAGCTATGATGTCTAGTATGTAGTCATTAAGTCCACATAGCTATTTAAATAAAATGAAATTTAAAAATTCAGTTTCTCAGTTGCACTAACCAGCTTCAAGTGCTAAATAGCTGCCTGTGACTGGTGGTTACTATACTGAACAACACAGATATAAAACATTTCCATCATTGTGGAAAGTTCTATTGGATAGTCTGGTTTAGGTAAAATATAGGACAGCAGTGGGTTAAATAGTGTTCTGTCCTCTGTCCTCATCTCTTTCACCCTTTCTCCCCTTATTTTTTCTCAGGGAGTGGGCAGCCATTGTGATCTGCTCAACTCTCTACTGCCACATTTCTGGGAAGTGTTAATCTTCTCACACCTTGGTATCACACCTTTATTCACAGCCATAACTATATATGACCCTGTGGTCCCCTCCACAACAGTGTTGATTGGTTCAAGGGTGGACACCTGGCCAAATCTAGCCCAAGCAGTAGCTCTTTCTCTCAGGATTTTGACATTGAGCCTAATAGTTTAGTCACCTGGCTGATCTCTTGAATGCTGGTGACCTGGGATTCACGGGTGACCGTGTTTTCTTTGATTTGGATTGGGAAAACTGGTCTTCAGGGAGATAAAGAAATGATGAAACAGTTACACATATCGGGGAAAGTTGGACTAGGAGCTCAAGGATATCAGGGCTCCATATCCCTCCTTTTCTCTGAGTTCTTTCTCTCTGATGCCTTCATGCTCAGGCAGGCTCTCTCCAGGAAGCAGAAATGACAGCCACTGACAGATCCTGATGGCTCAAGACCTTCTGAAGAAAAGTCCTGTCTCTCCTATATCTATATTTCACATGTTTAGGAAGGATTTGCTTGGCTTGGTTCATGTGCTCATCTGTTCAGAAACTGTGACCTGTCTTAGAAAGTTCTAGAAAACAAAGCCTGAAGAAGCAATTAAGTGCTAAAGCTTTATGTGGGATGCACAATTCCAGGGCAGTGAGAATGAGGGATAGGGAAGGCAGGAAAAGATGGGAAGCAATGCAAAGAAATGTTTGTGGCTACTTCTTCATAATGAGCTTAAAGAGACACAACTAGTCTCTTGACAGGTCCACCCACTTGGTCACGTAGAATGTCTCTTAACAGGTTATATAGAGAAATTATACTCTGAAACAGTCCGTCAGAGGAAGAGAGAGTGGATTTTTCTATCCTGCTCCTTCCTATCTTTGGTCTCCCATTTATCAGCTTGCCCTTTGGAGAGTTAAATCTCCTATACTTCTAGGTTGCTTCTTTGGCCCCTTCAGCAGCCGCTCAGGAAGCTAGATCTCACCTCTGTGAGATGGCATGTCATCAGTGTCTGGAAGTTGTAGAAGTCATAGAATTCATGTTTGTAACTAGCTGGCCTCAGGCAGTAGAACTGTGAGTCCTCACTCAGAGTTGGTCAGCCATGTCTGGGGTTGAGGTGGTGTGGGGAAAATGGAAGTTCCTATGGCCAGGATCTGCATCTGACTCTAAAATAGTTGATGATGTAATTGGCCTACCGCTAGGCTAATGCTTCCACACCCATAGACAATAAGCTATTATTGACTGAGTTACTATACAAAAGCTCTGCCCAGAGCTCTGGATGGAGGCAGAGACGAAGGTGGGCTATGGAACTGCAGACTGTTGTGGATGCAGATGTGATTCTAGTGCTTGACTTACCACCATGAGAATAAAGCCAGGTATAATAAACCCTTTTACCCCAAGTATGTTCCATTGTCATTTCTCAGATTCACTGAATCCATAGTGAACTTGCCTGGGACTGAAACCCTCAGGCAAGACAAGTGGACCAAGGAGCTAATGGTCTGGGGGAGAAATGATGCTGAGAAAGTCTGAGGAGGTATGGGTCCAAGATGTGGGGATCATTATGGTTGGTCAGACTGGGTCTTATGTGTACCCCATATAGCTGATGGAGTATAGCAGAGGTACTGTGTCAGGAAGTTTCCCATTTTCCCTTCCCTCATGTTAGTTTAGATTCCCAGAAAATCAGAAAGATAGGATTAAAAAATTTATTATGGAAAACACCTGTGAGAGAAAATGGGGCAGGAGCTAGGAGAGACTGAGAGAGGCCCATCAGACAATGATGCAGGTCTGAACCCAAGTGAGGGAGAGAGATGGAAGGAGTTCTAGGTGGAAGGGTCTTGGACTGTAGTGCAGTTCTAAGGTAAGTTTGGCAAGGCCATTGAAGGGTCCTTGAGCCAAAGTCCATCACAAGAGTACCATGTGTCCCAGGAAAAGCCTGTCCTAAAGTCCCTGCTGTGCTTAGTCAACGGCCAGGAGCAGCCCATTGGAAGTGAGGTTGGGAAATGAAGGGCAATGAATTTCAAGGCTTAGCATGGATTTCAGAGCTAGGCATCTGGGCTGTTGGTGAATTATCCTTCTCTCAGCAGGAGATCTGAAAAGTATGTTCTCAGGGCCACACACCTTCCCATTCAGCACTATATACAAATAAAGAAGGATGATTCTACAGTATAAAAAAAAGAAAAAAAGTAGAGTGCCATTACCAGTAGAAAGGACAAGGGTGTTGAGCAGACAACAAATGTGCACCCCACAGCTGACAATGTCTCATTTGTAATTCAAACTCTGTTATGTTCTGAACTCATGACTTCTCCATGCTCTGGAGAAGTCCAGAAGTCTTCATCTGGAGACTACCATCTCCACAGAATCTCTCTCCATGTAGGTTGACAAGATTGATTAGGTTTCTATTTATTAAATTACTCTCACCTCTGTCTTCTTGAGATTCCTCCCTTATGACCTGCATCACAGTTTGGTTTGTTTTTTGATCATGTTTGTAGACAGGCTGCTGGCTTATCCTCACAGATAGCTAAGTTTAGGGCTGTATTAGTTTAGGATAGCTAGCTTATGCTGCAGTAACAAACAAAATCTCAGTGGCTAACAAGGGGTTCTCACATTACATTGTATGTCATGTACCTCATCTGTGGCTCTACGTATCTTCATTCTGGGATCAAAGCAGGAGAAGCAGCTCCATTTGGGATATGCTGCTGTCATGGCAGAGGAAAAATAGTATGGAGGAATCATAAGATGGTCCATGCATTTCTACTCAGAAGGGGTTCAATCATTTCTACCCATGTCATTGATCAAAGCAAGGCCAAAGTTGATGACATTAGAGTAAAAAGTATAATCTCCTAGGGACAGGCCAGATAAGGTTTTAGAAAGGAGGGGCAGGGAATATTGGTAATAAGTCTACAGCAAGAACTAATATTCAGACTGTATGCACCAGCATGACTGCAACCAGTTACACTACTATTGAAATATTAGAATACTTTAATATGAGTTGGTAAATAGCTGTCCCAAGCCTCTTGACAATTCCCCTCTCCTGGGATCTACTATTACAAACCAGCAACTGAAAACACCTAACACAGAGTTATGTGCAGGACCCTTCCTGGACTTCAAACAAATCTGATAGATGAATGCATGAGCACTACCTGTTTTTAAATACGTTTACTCTCCACCTTGGCTATGTAAATTTTTATTAGTTTAATTTTGAAGGCAAACTGATATCCAGGCTCTTGGAGGAAAACTGACTGCAGCCCCTATGTGCAGTTGATACTTAGTTTTTCCTGTGCTGCTTCCTGTATATTTTTACATCTCTTTGCACATATACTATATGCAATTACTGTTAATAAATATTTGTAAAAAGACTTACCTATATTTTTCCCATTAGCTAAACTCATCCCTCTACTAACTCAACATTTTGGGTTTCCCTGCTTTTAATTTTTTTACTCCATTTCTCATGTCTAAAATGTCATCATCACTAACTTCTTTGACACTTCGGCAGTTTACAGAGCACTCTCTCTTATGCTGTTTCATTCAATCTCCCCAACACTTCCAGGAGATAAGAATTAGATTATTTTAGGTTTTGTTCATTTATTCATCAAGTATTTATTGAGTGCAGGAAGTGAGATTTATTAAGACTGGATTTGAAAACAATTTCCTGAATTCAAAGGTTTATTCCACTATTCCAAATGACTTTATCACTAGAGTCAAACTCAAATGAAGGAAATAATAATAGTGTGATCTTATTGTTGAGGACCCTAGCAACACAAGTCTCAAGCTCCCAGGTCATCGGTAAAATTCAAGATTACCAACCTCAAGGCAGTCTCACTTATGTGCTTGTCTCTTAACACACTGGCTTGGTTTAGGTAGTTCCACTCAATACATATTTGATGAATTTATCTCCAGGTTTTGGAGCTACTCATATTGAGTTTTGACACCTACTAGCTGTGAGACCTTGACCAAGTTACTTAACACCTTTGAGGTTCAGTTTTATCATCTGTTACATAGAAATAATACTAATGCCTTCGGACTGAGTAGTTGAAATTACAGAGATAAAAGTACGAAAAAGATATAATGTTCATTGTAGCTGTGGGTTCCAGTGTCTTTCAAGTTCTTAACTGCAAATGAGGAAAACGAAGTCCACGTAAGGTCACAAGCTGTTCATTCTTGTGAAATGCTGTTTATTCTGGAGTATATCATTTCAGTTTTGGTGTTAAATCCCCTTTTATGATAGCGGTAAGCTATCTTCTTTAACGGTGCATTTACCTGGCATGCCCATGTCGTCCTTCGTGCCTTAGCTCTTCCTCCTTCCTAGTAAAACAGAACAAAGCAAAGCACTTATTTCCTAAAATCAAATGTCTGTGCGCCACAGCAGATCCACAAGGTATGACGCCCTGCCGAGGTTCCCCCGCAACGCCTCCGGATCCCCTGAAAAGGGCGGGGTCGGAATGTCCTCAGGTCTCATTTCGCCTCTCTGCACAGTCGCCCTTTCCTAATTCTCGCGAGACTTCAGGCAATTCAGCTTCTGCGCATTACCAAATACTGGGAGTCGAGGCACCCAGGGAGGGGGAGGGGAAGGGGGAGACGGTGCAAACGGCGTGG